GCCTCCTCTGCTTCCCGCGGCCATGGTCTCTTAACCGGAAAGCGCCGGCTGCTTGGATTCCACACACCCAAGCAGGCGGCTCTCTGGGAGCCATTTGTTGGCTGCTAGTGTTGCTTTTTTTTCCTGCTTCTTTTGATTTCTCACTTGCCTCTTGCTACCTCCCCCTCCTTGCACTTGAGTGCCTGGCTCCGTTCGCCATCTTTGCTTCTTCCTGAGGGGCTGCAGAGCGCCGGCAACTTGTGATATACGCTTTCCCACTCTCCGCCCTTCATCACCCACACTCGGCCTCCTCTGCTTCCTGCAGACACAGTCTCTTGTCCAGAAACACCAGCCCGCACTGGCTGGCTCTCTGAGTGCCATTTGTTGGCTGCTAGTGTTGCTTTTCTTTTTTTTTTCCCCTACTTCTTTTGATTTCTTGCTTGCCTCACGCCACCTCCCCCAACTTTCGCTGGAGTGCCTGGCTCCGTGCGCCATCTTTGCTTCAGTGTGGAGCTGCTTCCCGGTCTGGGCAACCGCGCTGGTGGGATCACAGGGCTTTTGTTCATTTGTTTGTTTTGAATTGTTTGTTTTCTTTTCCTTTTATTGAGTTGGGAGCCCTTTCTGGCCAGGCAGAGCTGCATGGCAAGGAACTCCCTTCCCCTTCAGCTTCCACAGATGTGCAGAGGGATCCCTGAGCGCATTTCTTTTTTCGTTGTTTTTTTTTTGTTTTTTGGGGGGGGCTTTTCCTGTTCTTTTTTTTTTTTTAATTTGTTTAGTTTTCTTTTCCCTCTTTTTCGCTTTTTGTCTTTCCTCATTGCTCAGTTTCTCGTCCCTCTATATCTTCCTTCTCTTTCTGATCCCTGAATATCTGGCGTTGTATACCTCTACGCCTTCTAGCCAGGCTGTATTGCAACACCTGAGAGCAACTTCCCCAGACCCCATAGCTGCACCGGTGGGATTCCTGGGAACTTTGTGGTTCTTTAACCTTTCTCATTTTTATTTATTCATTCTTTTCTTTTCTTCCTCTTCCCCTTTCTGTTTCTCTCCATTTCATAGTCTCTCATCTCTCTATTCCAACGGCAAGCTCCCCTAGCATTCTTTTTTGTTTGTTTGTATGTTTTTGGCTCCTGTTCCTCTCTCCTCTCTCCCATATCCATCTTAGCTC